CGTATGAAAGGTCTGAAAATGTGAATAAACACGCATTCATTGAATAATATTAATAAATTTTAAATTTAATTAGTATGATAAAAAAATTATAAACATTTTACAAATCAATTTAATGCTCACTTTTATCTGTCATACCATCCGTGGCCTGTATTTCCTTATATTTCTCATCCCTCTTACTATCCGTATATTTGTCGGACCCATCGGTCGCCTCATTATTATTACCTTTCATTGATTCAAACATTAGGTGCAGAAAGTCAACCCTTTTTACCGGACTTCCGGTTTCCACAATCCGTTTCGAATCGTCGATCAGTTTAAGTGTAAGAATACGAAAAAATTCTGTAATATCTCTACTAATAAAGGTTAGCTTGAACATTTTAGCCACATTTGGTGCCATCAATATTATACCAATTCTTAGATTGGATACTAAACTCGGACTTAACATTTTGCGGGCATTAATTAGGATAGGGTTTTTAGTGTCGTCCAGAACTGACACTTTCCGGCCGAAAGCCACTTGTATTATAGACTCCATAATGTAGGCACCGATTACTGGTTTCATGTCTACCGGTACCGAGAGTTTGCCATTACTTTTGGCGATGATTTTGTCGATGTTGTCGTTCATAGTGTCCACGCATTCAAGGATTAAAGGAGTCATTCGTTTGAGTTTTCCGGCCGTAAATGTGGGCGATATTACTGTACGCATCCGTTTCCACTCGGAATCCCTCTGTAAGCTAACCATTTGATCAAATATAGGGTCACCACCCGTACGCATCTCCTAAATTATATGATATGAGGTCTTGCATTAGAAATAAAAAATAATTTAATTTAACCTAGACTTTAATTTTAGCTTAAACTAAGTTTATGAAATTAGTAAGTTTACTATTTTCAAATTGTAGTTAAATGTTCATGAAAATTTGTTATTAAAATCAACCATTTTAATTACAAATAAGTTTTTGTTTGAATTTATAATAGAAGCTTTTAAATAATTTATTTATTTTATATAAATTTATACGTATTAATATTATTTTTAAATGTTGATAGATTTAGCATTAAATAATAAGATTTGGAGAAGTTGAACTACTTTTAACTGGATTAACTAATTTTTTATAATGTATCTTTATGGCAGATAGTATGACCAGATACTTTTTTGGTAGAACTGGACAAAACTGGACATAATTTATTCTCTAACTTTAGTCAACAATTATATCCAGAAAAACAGTTATAACAATTAGATCCAGCTACTTTAAGTTCCAGTGGCAAAAACTAAAAATATTTGTCAGTTATAAGCAACAGTCAATCTTAGTAGTGATTTAACTTACAATTAGAAAGTATTTGAACAAGAATGATATTTGAAGCATATTTATTTAGTTTCCAATTTATCTTTTTATATATTAATTTAGTGTTCAAACTTTTTTGATACCTTAGTTTGAACATCAATTATATATACTGCATGCATAATAACAAGTATTAATTTAACCTTGATTTCATTACTTTCTATTAATTTAAATGATTTTAATATGAGTATATCATGTAAAATAGTATCAGTATATGATTTTCTAAACTTAATAATCGTCAATTCTGTATCAGTATCATTAATTAACATATCATTAATTCTTTAAATTAGTGAAACCATTCTAATAATATAATCGTTTTATAAAAATAATATAGAATTTTAGTGATTATAATTGACTCCCAAAAAATATCTAAGAACTGGACATTTAATAGTCCAGTTTTCACTATGAACTGGACACTGGACAGAGACCGTCAAAACTGGACAATCCAGTGCAAAAATGGACATCTGGTCACACTAATGGCAGATAGTATATCCTCAGATCTTGACATTATCCAGCTACAAAATGTTGAACCCCATTTTGAGATTAGTTAATCCAGTTAAAAGTAGTACAAATTTTCCCGACCTTACATAGAAGTGAACGTCTCTTTATATTTGGTTCCCGCTAAATTTAATTATTTATAACCACATTGGTACGCAAATTGTTCAGATAGCGTGCAAAATAATTAATTTATTTAATTAACAAAATTCTAATTAATAAAATATAAACTAAATTAAAACTAAACTTTATTTAAGTTTTATTTTAAATATACAATTGATAATTTAGTGAATTAATGATTTTTAAAATTAAATTATCATGCCATCTGGAACAGTTTGGGTACCGATGTGGTCAGAACTAATCATGTTTAGCTTGAACAAAATATATGACATTAATCAACGTCACAACTCTTATAAATTAACAAAATATGAGACGCATCCGGTGCTACCTTTAAAAAGGTCTTACTATTAAGGAATTCTTAATTTGTGAACAAGATCTATTTAATGTTTTGTTATTAAATAATTATATTTTAATTATTTATTTAGATGTGAGAGAGAGAGAGACCTTTTTGTTGGTAAACATATGGAAGTCTTTGACCAAAACCTCGCGAATGAGTTCTGGATCCGAGAGATAGAGAACCGGTTTTCCCAACTCATAGACACCGAAACACTTGCCGTTACGGCCATAGAGATCCAGATCGAGAAACTTTGTGGTGAGTCGTGTGTATAGACTTACACTCGCTGTCCGTACGCCTTGTTTACGCCAATAGTCACGTTTCCCGTCGACATATCTGACAAATATATATATTTAAAATGTGGTTTATTAAATAAATGACAATAGTTTGACATTGAAAACTTAGGAATAAAAATCAAAAGCTGAAAATTAATTTACAAATACAAAGTTTATAAGTAGGACGTTAATTGATATTATTAGGTAATAGGTTACAATTTTAAACATTGAAAATTTTTTTAATTTATAATAAAATACTAATCTTATAAATTTTAGTTTTAAGAATTAGTAATGTCAAAATATTTTAACTAGCTTACCTAAAAATGAAATACAATGTGATACCAAGAATAATGATTAAAATCATAGACCATTTGATTAATGATGTTTCAAATATCGTTTGAAGAATGGACATTTTGCTATTTGTTTTAATTAACTTTATATAAATTTAATTTTATGTAAAGTTTTGTTTTTAATTTTATAGCAATTTAAGCTCTTGAAGCTATTAAACCTGTAAATATTATAGTCGTGTATATTTTTATTTTCAAAAACAATTTATACTCAATTTCCTATTACCAATCATTTTTATAAATTTCAAAACAATTTGTCCTAAATTGTCTATTACAAGTCATTTTTAATAACAAAACACTTTTTCCTAAATATCCTGTTACAATTCATTTTTAAAAATTTTAAAACAAGTTTTTATATTATATTAAAATTTATAAAATTAAGAGTTTTAATTTAAGGCTCTCGGACTGCAATAGTTGTAAACCTAAGTGTATCTGGATGTTAGTTTGAACCTTGAGTGGGAAAGATTTATTAAATATTCAGTAAAAAACTCAAATATTATAACATATTTATATAATAACAATAAATGGTTGTTAAAATTCAATTGTGACATTATCATTAATATAGATTCTATATTGTAGGTCAAATAAATATTCTTTTTATTTTAAGTCAAATAAACGTAGGTCAAATCATAGACAACCAGTATTTGTAATGATAATGGTCAATTAATAAGTTAAATTGATCAACAACCCTACCCGACAAGCAGATTAAATTTCGAATAACATCCAATGATAGATAGAATCAATTTTAACGAAAACATGCAAAAGTAAGCAATAAATTGAGGTAGGGTTGCCAATCCTCAAAGTTTGCCGGGAAATCAGGTATCTCTGCCGTCTTACGGTTGACTGTCAACCTGGACATTAGTTTATTTAAATTATACGTTGAATTAGTAACATTTTACGGTCATATGTGAAATCATAATTGTGTATATGTTCGAATAAAAATGATTATTATAGTTAATTGCAATAAATATTTTACTTTTATCGTAACTATTTCGGTAAATCAAATTCAAATTAAATCCTATATAATTAATGTAAGTTAAGCCAAAAATAAGGCCAAAATTATATAGATGTGAATCTAAATCTTGAATTCTACTAATGATTATTAGTACTATAAACTGTAGTAAAATAACATTTTGATTTGGCAACTCTGAATTTCGTAGTTGCTTTCATATTTGTATCCGCTTTCAAATGTTTCATAACTTGTGTATTATAACTAGTATATACTCCTAAAGTCATCTGAGATAGGCAGTTTTTCTAATCGTATGACTTTCAATAGAAATCGTATAAATACCACAAACAGGATATTCAGACTAACCATTCAATTATTGAATAAAACGGTTTGAATTTAATTTGCTTTCAAACTCTAAGTAATATTATTTTAAATTAAAATAACATCAATTAAAATACTATTTTAAAATGTTTTCGATATTTCAAACCATATTTGAAATATCACTAATAAAATGGTCTCTGATTTCTACTTCTATTTTTGGAATCACATTGTTTTTGATTTCCAGGTAATCTAGCTTCATATTTTATTACATTTAATACTGTATTTATTGGATTTACTTATTTTATAATAAATAAATAATTATTTGACAGATATATTGACGGGAAGTGTGACTATTGGCGCAAACAAGGCGTACGGACAGCGAGTGTCAGTCTATGGACACGACTTACGAAACAGTGGTTCGAATGGCAACGAGATCTCTGTGTCGGTAACGGCAAGTGTTTCGGTGTCTATGAGTTGGGAAATCCGGTTCTCTATCTCTCGGATCCGGAACTCATTCGCGAGGTTTTGGTCAAAGACTTCCATATATTCACTAATAGACGGGTCAGTCGTATAAACATTTTATATAATTTTAAAAATTAATTATAACTTATCCTTGACCTTTTGTTCAAGTAATATTAATTAAAAGTATGGAATATATAATTTATATCAATCAGTGTATGAGTTTGAGAGTTTTGAAAAAAGCGTTGGTGAATTTTGTACTATTTTTTAATAAAAAGGAGCCTGTCCAATGGGTACGTTAAGTTGCCTAAGCTGGAAATCGGGATTTTTTGGTTGGATATGAAAGAACATTCAATGCTGAGTCCGAATATATAATTTATATTGTTCTGTGACCTCGAGTTCGACCGGAGTGACCACTTTTATAGAGAAAAGTTTTTAAGGAAATATTAACATATAATATATTAAATCAATGTAGAATTTAACGTAGATTAAGAATATCTTACTCAAAATAATATAAAACTAATATTTAATAAAATATAGATAGAAATAATTATTTTAATAATTAAAAATCTATTTTATTAATTAAATCGACGTAATTTATGGATGAAAATTATATATATTTATTATTGATGCTTTATGCCGTCAATTGATATGAAATGAGAAATTAATAACAAAAGCTAAGTCTTGCCGATGAGGAAAAGGACGGTGTCGACGCTGTATCTGGTTATTGTTGCTCTTGTCCTAATGGCCTCAGAACTGTGGGTTGTTGTGCTCATGTGGCCACAGTTCTATTGTTTCTCGGATTTGGTAGGCACCAATCCGAGATCCCAATTCCCGCCGCATTCTTAAATGATGTGTGCGTGGAATTGGGCGGACAAGAGCAACAATAACATGTGACATTAGACTTTGGCAGGGGTGTTAGATAAAAGTGAGCATTAAATTGATTTGTAAAATGTTTATAATTTTTTTATCATACTAATTAAATTTAAAATTTATTAATATTATTCAATGAATGCGTGTTTATTCACATTTTCAGACCTTTCATACGACGAGCTCATAGCCCAATGTATAATGTTTTTAACGGCCGGGTATGAGAGCACTGCCTCCACTCTGTCCATGTGTTTGTATTGTATCGCTAAACATCCGGAAGTTCAACAAAAATTATACGAAGAAATTAATAAGTTTTTTGAACAAAAGGTTTGCAAAAATTATTTATTTGTTTATATACTGTGATCCATTATAAACAAACTATTTCTTTCCTTAATTAAAAATTATAAATAATAACTAGGAATGCAATAAAAGTGGAAATAAAATGGATTTAAATGAAATAAATTGAATGAATGACCCATCAGCTATTATAAATTCTTACTAATTTTTACAAATTGTATCTCTTTTATCACAAAATATATTCATGAATTGAAATAATTTAAATAGAAAATAAAAATGAATTTTATTTTACATATTAATATTTGATTCATTTAACTAATTGATAGGCTTTCTGTAAGACAACAAACTCTGAATCGTAGACTATTTCATATTATTTATTTTATTTATACTCATTTGGAATCATTATTAACGAGTAAAAATGAATATTTTTATAAAATAAATCAAATTCATTTGATGAGATATTTTGCAAACCAAGATTATTGCTAATAGGATTACTTGTAAACTTTATTAATACAACTTTTACCCTTCATTCAGTACGTACACATAATTACAAATAATATTTCCAATAAAATGGAATTCGTAATAATAACCAATTTTAACAAAAAGTATACCAAAATGTTCAGGGATAATGAAATTTTTATATCTGTATTTAAGAATACCCATAAGTTATTTACCTTGATAATAAATAGTGAGTAAACGTGCAAACATGCGTTTCGAGTACACATAAAATGAATGATTCCTTACAGTGCTATGAATGGAAGCATTGATTCAATTGTTGCGAACTTTCACTGCTTTGCGTTTGAGAGCACTGCTAAGAACCAGTCATTTTAGGTATTCATTCGAAGCGCGTGTTCACACATTTACTCGATATTTATTATCAAGGTAAATACCTTGTGTCTATTCTTTAATATAGATATAAAAATATCATCCCTGAACATTTTGGTATACTTTTTGTTAAAATTAATTAATATTTACTATTTTTAATTAAGGAAAGAAATAGTTTGTTTATAACTGATCGCAGTTTATTATGATTACGGGTGTCCCAGCGTAGTAGCACTACTTTAAATTAATATAAAATATTTAAAATAATATTATGTTGACAAAAACAATACCATAATGTTGGGAATTTATTAATATTTTGTGTAATTTATAAAAATTCATATCCTGGTCAAATTTTTAGTTTTACTGCATGGATGTTTGTTTTGCGTAATACCAAAGTAATACAACTGTCACTGAATGCTCGCATTAATTAAATCAATGCTTTGTATTCATAGCGCTGTAGGAAATTCACAATTTTTTATTTATAAATATCTGACATCTATTCAGTAAAACTAAAACTATGACCAGGGTAGGCATTTTATTGATATTTTATGAAGCGCACATAAAATATTAATAAATGTCCAACATTTTTATAGTTTTGTTAACATACTAACGCAGTGTACATTAAATTTTAGAGTAACTTATTGCTTAAAATACTGTAATTTATAATAATAATAAAAAATTAAAAATCATATCATTTTAAAGCCTTGTTTTCAGACAGTAAATTAAAAAAGAAATGATTTCAATTAATTTGTTATAAATAAATA